CCCCACCTGGTCTCAACAGCTCCTGAAGATGGTCATAGAATATTTTTTTTTCCTTTTGGCACATTTTACACTGTAACCCAGGACATTTCCTTTTTATCCTCTGTGCCAGGCATGCTGTCCTTCACTGCTTCTATCTCTGTTCCTCCTTCCCAACATTTTTTATATGAGTCTCTCAGGCAGGATGGTCACCCCTGTGTACTGGGGGCACAGTGCAGTCTTGGTCTGTGCCAGGGTCTCCACAGATGTGGTACAAAATAATAACAGATGTTTTTCTTATACTGTGGTTGCTTCATCTTTCTCTTTGCATCACTTTTGCCGCCTTTTTCAGACCATGAGATTCAAACTCTTGGCAGGTCATGTTTTTGCTATGATTCTTGATGTGAACATACATCATTAGACTATATGTGCTGAAGCAAACTGAGCCAAGATTCATCCCCATGAGTACGTGGATGCCACTGCTAACCCTGTTGCCACCAATGAGCAGGTAGTCTGACATGGAGAAGTTCCCTGTACATAAGCACAAGGCTTAGTGATCCTGTAACACTTAAGTCATGCTAGACAACCCAGTGTATCAGTGTTTATGGGGATAATTAAAAACCTGCCTGCGCTGATATTTTTGCGTTAGTTTTTTTTTTTTTTCCCTCGGAACATTCTTAGCTTAGGTATCCCTAAAAACAGCCATAGCAGCTTCTTCAAGCTTAAAGAAAGAGAGCTTAATAGGTACTTGAGAATAAACAAAATGCAATACCGCTGTGTAAAGGTATAGCTGTAAGGAAATCAAGGGCAGACAGCTGTGGAAAGGAGGATTAGATCTTCACCCATCAAGAAGGTGGATATCAAAGATATTCAGAGTAGCTGCGCACCCGGTTCTCTGACCACATTATGGGAGTTCGTTGTCCAGCCAGTTCTCTTGTACCTTTGAATGCCCTCAGTTTGGCATTGGTTGCATCTCAAACCTTTCATTAGGACCACTGGAGAAAGAATCTTCCATGTTGATTTAAAGCTGAAGAAGCCAAAGAAGATGTCACTTCAGCGTTTTCTTGAGAAAAGGTGTTAACGTTTCTGGATGACTTGGAAACAGATTTAAAAATATAAAACAAGTTTCAAGAAATAGGTGACTTCTGAAGGAGAAGAGCATTTGAGGTGCGGGAAGGAGCTATGGCAGGAGTATGTAAGAGTCCTGGGGGCTGGATGGAGGGTTTCCAGCAACCATCTAACTTGATTGCTGTCCTGGAAACAAATACCAGGGCAGTCTGTGTCAATAAACCCAGTCCAGCCCACATAAACCATATCCAGCTACTGTCCTAGATAGCGGTGCTGCACACAGTCCAGTCAGTACCCATGGGCTATTTCACAGGACAAAATTGAGAAGGTAAAAAACTGGCAAGTGGTTGAACTGAGACAACACACTCAAATGGCTGTTCTGCTGTTGGATACACTAGGGGATATTGGCTGAGTGATCCTAAAACAAGTGGATGAGTAAGTCTGCAATTGTCTCCCCTCCCTGCAACGTGACGTTGTGTAGTAGCAGCGCAGTCTACTGCTTCCTGTGCTCTGACTAAACAAAGTCCCTTCTGAGGTATCTTGTAGATATCTGTGTGTAGGAGCACAGAAAGATGAAGGTTCATTATGCATGTTTTCCTGTAACAGGCAAACAAATTGCTGGGTGCTGACACACAATTTGACCAGCAGACAGGGCTGTCTGAGGTGTCCTGCCTATCTGCAGGGGAAAAGGGGGTGAATGCCTGTAGTGGTGTGGAGGCAGGACAGCTCCTTCTTCATGGTGTCATCAAAGTGAGGAAGGCAAAATAAGTGCTCCAACCATGCAGCAGTGCAAAGGATGGTTTATAAATAGTGCCACAAGTTCATTCAAGCTCCTACTGTCTTATCTGGGGCTTTAATTGTTGTTCCTGATTTTTACATACATATATTGTAAAATATTCATCACATAATCACAGCCGTAATTAAGGTGCTTTCTGACTCCTCCCTTAGCTGCTGTGCTGGGAGAGGGAACTGGCCTTGGAAAAGAAGGATGTACTTTTGCATCTGTGTGCCTTTTCCTGTGGTTGTTCATTTCATCCCCGGAAGAATTACAAGTTTGCGAAGGAGTTTATGTATATAAGTGTCTGTTGTTAATAGTGTTCTGAGGCTGCAGATATCAGAATATATGGTTGGCCATGCAGGATGGATGTCAGCCTGGCTGTGCCTGTAGCAGTGCTGAGCTCCAGCATGGTATGGCCATGAGTTTGGTAGGGGAGGCTACAGGCAGCAAGGCACTCTAATCTACAGGGGACAGTTGGTGCCCGCTCTGTGACTTTCACAAATAAGGAACAGACACAGTGAAGAGCAATTGGGGAAAAGGGAACCATAAGCACAGGACCTTCAGAGAGATTGAATCAGGTTACTGGAGACAACTTGGGAGGTCACGCTATAAGGAAGAGTTAAAGAGTGGGTGATGTGAAGATGCGGAGGAGAGGCGAAGGATCATGACACTTCAAAGATGATTAAGTGAGAGTGTGACAATCAGAAGGATTTTGAAAGAGATTGATAGCCCAACACCCATTCTGCATCAGTCTCTTGTCACATAAAGTTCACCACATGATCAGTCTGTGATTTTCCTTGCAGGAAATAAGATCAAATTATCTTCATTTTCCATCTACTGTCTCCCTTATGTTTCAGTCCACAGCTTTATTTTTCCTTCTCCAGGATGGACCCTTTTTATTCTCCATCTAAGAAATGTGCCTACAGTGATGGGCTAGCTTGAAAACTGCAGCCATACTGAAACATGTCTCCTTCTGTCTGGACCTCCTTGCGATGCCATTGCAAGGCCAAAAGGAAACATGCTTTAGTTCTGGGAAGGCTTCGGTGATTGAAGCCAAGTTTGTGCACAGTGGTCTGTGGTCTGTTATCTTTCTGAATTCCAGCCTAAGCCAGTCTCCAGTTTTGTCTTGTTACAGAAAACTGGTGCATCTCTTCTCTTTATGAAGTAGACATAAAGATCAGTCACATATTTGTGTTGTGCTCTGTGTATCCACAGAGTGGGTTGAGTTTGTGAGTTTGTCTAAGATGCTCAAGAATGAGTAAAGAGGGGGAATCACTTTATTCCAAACAAGTGTGGGCCAGCAAAGCCATGAGTGGATAGGAGACTACAGGCTGCCTGCCTTGGAGTACAGCTGAGGTGTTACTTGCTAAGTATAATAAAACAGAGCTTCAGTAATCAGGGTGGAGCTGATTGTTTATTTCTGCAATATATCACCTTCGCATGAAGCTGGGTCAGCATAGCCCTTAGTCAAGCCTACAGAAAAAGCTCTGAGCGGTCCTTTGGGCTTCCAAGATTTTCCTTGTGAGAAAGTTTGTGCATGTACATAGTCTCACTGCAGTATCTCAGTTGCTGGGGCGGCTTTGAAATTCCAGATAATGCTGCCAGCCTAATACAGGATCTGTGCAGACAGAACAGTGAAGGCCTGACTCTTACTCCCTCATTACTTACTGTAAAAGTCTGCAAAGCTCAATTCTGCGCTGTGGGAGACCTGCGATTGCTCAGCCTTCTCACCTCCATGGGCACATCCATACTTGACTGACAGCCCTTTCAAACCACTGTTTTGTGGAGTGCTTATCTGAATGGCAGGACAGTGTTGTCTTCTGTTGCAGATCAGCACAGAGACAGTAAATCGTAACACTACAAGTCAATGCCACAATAGTGAGTTTAGCTTTGGTCTGTTATGTGTCAGACATGCCCCCAGCCTGATGTTTTATAAAGGCTATGCATTCACTGCTCTGTACCATCTGGCTTCATGAAAGAGGAACTGAGACAATGGTGAGCTTGGCATTGCCAACAGCTAGTCTGCTTCCAGTTGCTGCAGACGAGATGGCCCAAAGTATTACTTAATGGTATATTGAGCCATTCCCTTCAAAGACAATAATTTGCAAGACACATTTCTGAAGCCATGACCACAGTCTGTGGACTAGCTCATTAATTACCGTCACCAGTGAGAGTTGTTGATCCAGGACTGGCTCCTTCAGCTACTGTGCCTTAGTTGTCCTGCCCCTGCACCTTCCTCCTACCCCCCACGTTAGTTGACTCTGGTCAGGAATTGCTGAAAGGAATAATCTGGTCTGTGTTCAGCAGCACATCAGACTAGAGTGTGGTTTGACCTCCTCTGACTTTGAGGGCAGTTCCTTTCTTTCTAGACACGCAAGGTTATTCCCAAGAATTATTCCATGCTGAGTCAGACTCTTTCCTCAATTCCAGATTATCTCTTTTCCAAAGCTTTTTTCATTAAAGAGAACTATTTTGATCAGAATGTTGACTTAAGGAAGAGTGGGTAAGAATACAAGGCAGAGAAATAAGCATCAAGCCAGTATGTCAGGGAGAAACACCTGTGTTATATGTGCCTTGATGGTATCTGTATCAGGATTCTGCTGCAAAGCCCATTCAAATATTATCTGTGTTTGCTCCTTCTTCCAGCAGAAAACCCCGCAAAACCTTGTTAGCAATTTCATCGTCATCACCAGCACACAGGCCCTATGTCACATCCCAGGAGCTCCCACTGCTGTTGCACCCCCAGAAGGAGGAGGAGGGGGAAGAGCTCCTGCCACACCTGCTGCTCCCTGATGGCATCGATGTGCTGGAGAAGGTAGACAGGAAGTACAAAAAGAAGAAGAAGAAGCACCAGAAGAAACAAAGACTTCGACAGTTCAACGACCTCTGGGTTCGCCTTGAAGAAAGGTAGCTAAGGGCTGGGGAAGGGGGAGCGTTTGTCATGCAAACTGGACTTTGACTTACTCTGATTGACTCAGTACGCCAAACTTCTGCAGGGACTAAGTATATGCTGAGGGCCGGAGTATGTTCTCCCTCACTGTGATTCTTGCTGAAACATTTACTCAAGGCTGCTTGTGCTTTTAGTGACAAATAGCTTCTTCTGCATGGTTAGGTTTGTGGAAAATTAGGCATAATACAAGTGGAAGCCTTGTCTAGATCATTTTGCATTTGGACTTGAGGGATTGTGAACATATGGTAGTCTTTTTTTTACCACAGAAGGCTGGGTCCAGTGGTAGATGGTGCAGATCAAAGCCTTAGACCTTTATCCAAGAGCTGCTGCATCTGTGGAAACTGTCATATCTTGGCATATGTGCTCCTTACATTTGGACAATATTTACGCAGCATTTTGTCTCTCTGTTCTTTGGGTCTTAAAATGCATGTGAGCCCCATGACATTACTGGAGATTTCGAAAGGGGGATGACAGCCTAATAGATGATGGAGTTAATATAAGAAATGGAGTGTGTTGTGGGGCAGAGGTCTACACGTATTCCCTACTTTTCATCTAGAAGAACTTACTCATCTACAAGAACTACAGCAGCCTGCAAAAAAAAAAAGAAAAAAAGCCAACTTCTCCCTCGGGATCTGTGCTTACGCCTGTGACTGAATGTGTACCTTAGTATTTTCCTCGTGTCAGACAACACACAGACCTGAGTCTGCTCTCTTTTGTACTTTGTGTCTCTGTATCTCTGCCATACTCAGGTTGAAAGCATTTTATTTTTGTGGTGCTGTAAATAATTAGACAGGTCAGGGTGATGGAGAAAAGCCTGCAATTCTTGAAATGAAGCCTCTACAGTCTTCTTTTTTTTTTTTTTTTTAAATCTCTCAGGAATATTTCTTCCTGCTCCCCAAGGTTCTGAGTATATCAGGGTTCTCCTGTGCCTCTCCTATGACATCCCTGGGTCCCAGCTGTGCCACTGCTTTGAGTAGTACATTGTTCAAGCTGGCTGCAAGTGGGTGCAGCAGCTGTTGTTCTGTTCCAAGAATTCAGCCATTGTCAAGACTTTTTAGACCAGACTCCTTTTCCTCTTTTCTAGAGCAGTTCTGTGCCCTCTCTCTTCCTCCTTTCAGCCTAAATATGAGTAGTTTGGAGGGAAAGGGAGACAAATACACATGGAGGTTTGCACGCCCAGTGACAGACCTACACACAGTCCAAGGTTCACCGGTACAGGAAATACTTATATTGATCATACTTGATTTTGTCTTTTAGTGTATCATTTATTTTCTATTAATGTAGTTGATACCAGCTGTTTGTGAATGGGTTTTTTGAGCTTCTGTTGACCGTCTATTTAGTTGAAGTGCTAAGGCATGATTTGGAGTCTTTATGATCTCAAGCTCTCACCCTGCCTGCATGCTGCCATGTTCAGTTTTTCACATGCAGTCGTTCCTGTGAAGCTAAGTGAAGTCAGTGGGCACCCTGATTGCGAGATAAGCATGCACTTGCAGCATCAGTGCCTTCAGAAGAAGAGGGAAGATGGGAAGATGTGCTACAGTGACTAAATTGGAGGTACATTAGGGCTACATACTGGATTGCAAGTACTGCAAAGCAATAGTGAGATAAAAGCAAAGCTGATGATGACAGCTTAGGGAACTACTGTGTAAATATGGGAGTGGCAAATGCCTCCTTTCCTTTTCTTCTTTTGTAATGATTCCTTTCTTCCCCTACTAATCAACTCTTCCTTTGTGCTAGAAACTTACCCAGGTGCTAGGTGACAAGTTCTTTTTAGGAGCGAGTCCTTAATAGCAGAGAGCTTGAACGTGTGGAGATGGAGCTGGTTGCTGACAGTCTGGGAAAGACAAGTGATGCTTATTGTTGCCTGGGAGATTGCTGCACCCTTACGGCAAAGGGGAAGCTGCAAGTGTCAGGGGCAGCTATTATTGATGCACAGTCCCCACCCATGCTCTAGGTTAATCTTTGTAGAGAAAGAGGAATCATCTCTCTGCGCCCCGACACCCGCGTGTGCAGGCCGTCCGTGCCGCTGCGGGCTGCCTGGGCAGGCGTGAGCTGAACCGACAGCCCCACCTCGTGGCGCAGCCGCGATGTGTCCCTGCGGAAATGCGGCCCCTCTGGGCTCAAGGTCACAGGTATGCAGGCCATGACTTACTGGGAGTCTCAGGCCTTGCTATAAGCATCCCCCGGGGTGCCGTGGCACAGGTAAAGCTGTCAGGTTTCTTATACGTGGGCCATTCACAGCTTTCCTCCTATGAGCCTGGAAATGTGAAAGATGCAGGTCTAGTGATTTAATAATGTCTTGTAGTAGGCTTGGCAGAATTGCTTTGGTTCATGCTCCTGTATGGTGTTAGTACCCTGTGGCCTTAATGGGAGTTCAGCATCATGTAGACTCTGGCTCCGTTCTTGTTCAGCATCTCGGAGTCCTCACTGCTGCTGGGAGATACTCTGGAATGTGATGGTCTTTTCCCAGGGATTCTAGGATGCATTTCTGGAAGTGGCTTTTCCTTATCTTAAAGCATGTCATGTAAAACCTTTGTAATTCCTAACCTGTGGAAGGGAACAAGTCTGGTCCATGCTAAGATGCATGTATAGAAGCATGGCTGAAGAAGACGGATTCAGCTGAAAGTAGATGGCTCACTCCTGCTGTGCTCAGCAAGTGTTGCTGCAGTGACACTCATCTGCAACAAACCTTGTTTTGTTATTCTTACATATTTTCTGCTTAGGTGAAAGGTGCTAGGAATATGGTCATCTTACTCACCTGACTGACTGCATGGGAGCAATGGGCAGGCTGGCTGGATAGACCTGAGTACAGGCTGGGTGTTTCAGTGCTGTCTCCTCCCTCCTCAATCTTTTCCATGTTCCCCCTCAAGACTACTTCACAGTTTAGTTGGGCTGTGCCCTCATCCATGTGGGCTTGTTGACAGAGGGTTGCAATCGCAACAAACATCTACACAGTTGCAGGTAAGACGGCACTTCTTTATTGCAGCGCTGGGAAGCACGAGGAATAGCTCCACCTGATATGCTTCCAAATTATATTAAAAATTCATCATTTTTATATACTTTTTCTGAAAAGTCATGATCTTTAACATATTTTAACATAAGCATGCATGTTATGCCCGCTATTAATTTTAACATTTACAATGATTGGTCCACCCTATTGTATGACTTTATTAATATTCTTATACTAATATAAGAATTATTTTGGTTATTTTACTGATTAAAATCTCTGATGTACAAATTAGGGTGGGGAGGATGTGAGAGTCTTCACAGTAACATTCCTCTGTTTCTATGGTTTCATCACATAAGATAAGAAAACTTGCTGAGAATGTACAATTTCACTCCCTGTAGCTGTCTCCCTGCCTCCCTGTTCTGTGTCCTGTACAATTTCACAATCCACAGCAGCTTTAGCTTTGGCCATCTTCGTAAGACCTGCATCTGTTCTCTCTTAGCATAAGTGAGGTTTTGTATATTTCTTACCATAATGTAAATTGATTGAATCAGGAAATTAATACAAAACATTAGTTATTCATTAAAGCAATTAAATTGTTCATTAAAAGCAATTAATTATCAATGAAAAGTAATTATCTGTTCAAAAATTCAAACCTGATTATAACAGGCTGGTGTAGGAGCTGCCCACACCTGTGAGGAAGGGACGAGGCAGCACTCTGCCATTAGGAGGCACAGTCCTTTGGTCAGCATGGAACCAGTACAAGAGACCATTCCCAGGAGCCCAGAAGACTGGCAGTGGGGTACAGAGGCTGACCATCTCCTGCTCTGTGGGCATCGGGCAGTTCTGGGCTGGGTCTGGACTGATATTCTTCTCTTGCCTTGCAGTGCTACCAACCCTGCTCCCCGGATCCGCATCATTAATGGCTACATCACGGTCGAACCCCAGCCCCAGGGCCACGGACAGTCTAGTCACGCTCGTGCAGACACTGGCAGTGCTCACCAGCTTTCCCGTTCTCTCTTCCTCCCGCTACTGACTTTGACTTTGCATATGATAGGGCTGCATTGAAACAGGGGGAGCCAAGCTGCGGGGCTCTTGCCTTAAAAAACGAAAAAGAAACTTATGTGAAAAAACCAAAAACAGAAGACTCTGAGTGGGACACCTGTTCTTTGGGGTGTTCTTAAACTGCATCCTTTTCCTGAATCTGGATCATTAGCACTATTAACTGGTTTGACCTGCCCAATACAGGAGAAGATATTTTAATGAAAGTGTTATTTATCCTTCTCTTGCAGAAGAATGATTTCATGTTATCCCATGGGATAACATTTGGGGAGATGATAATGTCGCTATAACATAGCTGTATTTCAGCTGTATGAGCCCAATTAAGTTACATTTTTTTCACCTTCAATGCCTTGTAAGAAGGTTTACACACCACTGACTTATTAGAACAGAATATATTGGTCATATGAACACAGCTGGGAAAGAGAGGTTAGTATTTTATGTCTCTACTGGTCATGCTTTTAGTTCTTGCTTTTTGGGGCTCCAGATTACATATAAAGGTTCATGACATCACCTTCTACAATAGAATAAAACAGTATCGTGAACAGAATGTTTCTGCTGTCTGTTTGATGGTGTTGTAAGATGGGTACACCTGAACCTCCAATGGCCAGACAAGTCTTGTAAGCACAAACTAACGTGTATTTAAGAAAGGAAATTGCTTGGGAACCTGCACAATCATGCTGTTGGATGCTTCCAAAATAAGAAATTCTCAAGAGGTGATTTGAGAAGTACAGATGCAGGTTTTCCCTTGCTTTCCGAATCACAAATATATTGTTATTTTGTAGCTAGATTCACTTTGGGAGAGTGCTTTTCTGCACAATTAAACTTGCAAGGTTTCTACTGATTTCAATGGAAATTCTCAGATGTTCCAAATTATTTTACGCCCTTCGCTGTCTACTTAAAATGGACATGCAGATGACTGTTGGTTGTAGGAAGCTTGGAAGTGATGCTGAAT